ATTTACTGTGAACCAAGCCACTCAGAGACACTGAAAACACTGGATCAAGAGCTGCTTACATGTAAATTAACATACTGCTGCGCTGGGTATTTATATCAAATTACATCACAAGCTTTACAATTTGATAAACACACTGAATATTTTATTAATTTATTTGATTGAGAACCATTTACCTCAGTATCTCCAGCTGACAGTTTGGACTCTTCAGTCCATCAGAGAGCAGCTTCACTCCTGAATCCTGCAGGTCATTGTTACTCAGGTCCAGTTCTCTCAGGACATAGTTTGAGGATTGTAGAGCTGAAGACAAACTTTCACAGGACTGAGCAGTGAGATTACATCCACATAACCTGTGTAAAGAACAAAACAAACAGTAATATATACAGTTACATCACAAGCTTTACAAATTCATAAACACACTGAATATTGTGTTAATTTATTTGATTGAGAACCATTAACCTCAGTATCTCCAGCTGACAGTTTGGACTCTTCAGTCCATCAGAAAGCAGCTTCAATCCAGAATCCTGCAGGTCATTGTTACTCAGGTCCAGCTCTCTCAGGACAGAGTGTGAGGATTGTAGAGCTGAAGACAAACTCTCATAGGACTGAGCAGACAGATTACATCCACATAACCTGTGTAAAGAACAAAACAAACAGTAGATAATGTGTTTACTTGTGTTTATTTATCTGGTAGGGTTTGTAATCTGGAGCACAGATGACTTCCAGAAAGCTTTGACTGTGGTGATACAGTTGAAGTAAACTCAATGATCAGTGAATACATCTGATGGTTTTAGCTTTAAGAAAGAATTTAAGGCGATTACACAAAATTAAAGGACTTCCATTAGATTTTAAATGTATGTTTCAATAATTCAATTCTTCATAAAACACCTGTCACAGCAAGGCAGAGAAGGGACAGTGGATTCAGTTGCAGCAAGTTTTTGTTAAAATTAACACAAAAAAAAGGATTGTCCAAAGGGTACAAAGACGAAGAAAAAAAACAGCAGGCAAACATGCATAGACAATAACTGACCATGAACTAAAGAAACCAAGATGTATGAATGCACAAGATAAATATATTTACATTTACAAATTTTTTTATTTTTATTTTTTATAATAAATTAAAAGTAAAAACTACATAGAATAGAAAAAGAATAGGGAACAATAGTGTTATGTAAGGTCTCTGTCTTGTGAAACAGGCCCCCATAAGCTGTGGATTCACCACGTGAATTATGAAACAGAAATATTACAGAAGGAGCTAAAGATCTCCCCCCTATCAGCCATCATGAGGTATCTATACCAACCACCCCTAGCACATGACTCCAATATTCTGGGTCGACTTCCTTCCAGTCTTGTCGTCATCTACTCAGAGGAGTGATTAAAGACTAATCCAATCAAGAGACAACAAAGCTTTCTTGGTATCAGAACTGGAAGGTTCGTTCACAACATATAGAAACCACGATGTCTTGTGACCACCAATGAATGGATCTATTATATCCAAACAGGAAAAGAACAATAATTTAATTAAGCCCTCAGGCCTGCAAGCACGGGATATACAGCGTGACGCCCATGATAAGGAACAGTATGGGGCGTGGCTAAACCCCGCAGCCACCATCTGATTGGACCACGACCTGTGGGCTGGACAACAGTCAGCCTGCTTAAAAATGGACACAAAGCCCTATCGTGCTAGGTGTTACACTCTCACTCGCGCTCTCTCTCAAGACCTTTGGCTTTCAGCTTGGTGAGCGCAACAAAGCGCTCCCACGCCGTACCATCGCACAGCGAGACTCCAGAACTCAAACACTTCAGTTGAAACTTTGCGATAGAACGTAACGTCTTGCAAACTCAGACTTTTTAGCTGAACTGCTCAAGCCTCTTCCGTAACCCGGCAACCAACGAATCCAACGAGGGATCTCCCCAAAAGGACGTCACCCAAACGTCATCTCAGCGACCAATCCGAAAGCTCCGGGATTCCCTCAGCAGCCATTCAGGAAGCCTTTGTCAGCAACGAGGAACAACTCCGCTTTTCAGCTGTCACCCAAAGCAAAACACAAGTAAACGAACAAAATCTTATCTCTGCTGAACTGGTGTCGAGCTAAATTTTAATCAGTAAACATAAGCCAAATCTCTGCTTGTGATTTTCTCAGGATGCCAGTAAGAGAACTGTAGCGAATATCTTGCTAAAACTTTGGGCTTCCTCAGAACTCCGTCAACTCATTCCTTCAATTTTCAGAGCTGTATATGTGTGTGTGTGTGTGTGCATGTGTGTTTTAGCCTAGTTTTAATGTAATCTAGAATAGCCAATAAAATT